GTGGAGAAGATCATCCATCACTTCTCCTAAGATTGCTATTAAACTATAATGTGGAGTATTGCTCCAAAATGGAGGTTGTGATGGACCTATACGGTTACAACAGGCACGGTATGAATAATAAATATTACTAAATTAAAATCAAACTACAAAAAACATTTATAATTACCTGATTCGTTCATTATGCGAGGCTCAATGTTACCTTCGTCAGATGAGCTATCATCTGCAATTTCATCATCTTCTTCAACATTGATATCATCGTCGTCACTTAAGTTTGTTGCAAAATCAACGTTTGAATCAGGATGATTTGTTGGTGGCAAAATTGTTTGCTCAAATTGATGGTCACTACTCATTACATTTGACTGTGTCAAAACTAGAGGTTGATGTGCTTCTTCAGCTGTAGTTATTTCTTGTAAGGAAAAAGAAGATGTTCCAACAATATCAACAACAATATATAATTATATCATACTCATATGACTTTGCCGTTGAAAATTATCAAACATGCATGCAACATCTTCATCGTCTGCAATTTCTATAGCTAGATAAAAACAGGATTCACACAATGCAAATATCTGCAAGTGATGCTGGAAACAATTTGGTTATGATGCAATTTCAACTTCACATGAATTTTTTTCTTTAAAGATTCAAAATCCAATCCACGATTTACGTGAATTTGTTTTCGTGTCACCTGTAAAAATAAAACCTTGCTCGTTATTAATTCTACTACCATTATAATATAATAAGCAAATGAAAGACATTTTCAAAATGAAAATAGAAATATGCAAAATCAAGATAGGAATATGATAATAAAGAGAAGAGTAACAAAACTATAATATGAGTCGAAGACTTATAGAATGCAGAATGGTCTAAGACAACAACTCATTCATCTATATATAACAAAACTTCTGAATGATAGACGTCACCCTTGGTGACGTGTTTCATAGTCAGAAAATGTGTTTCAGAGTACCTGTGTTTCAAAGGGAACCAGGAGTCAAATTTAAACATAAAATGTTAGTACTAGTGACGTTTTGTGTTGTTTTTTTGTTGATGAACAAAAAACGTCACTAATACTGACATTTTCTGTTGCTTTTTGTTAATGAACAGAAAATATCACTGATACTAACGTTTTATGTTGCTTTTTGTTGATGAACAGAAAACGTCAGTACCAGTGACGTTTTCTGTGTGAACAATATCAGCTCGTCACTCAGAGTGACGTTTTGCACAAATCGTCACTTATGACGTTTTCTTCTTTCCTCCGCATCCTACGTGTCTAAAATTATTTATTTTAATAAATAATTTTTTATTAATTTATTTTAAAAATTTATTTATTTATTTATTTATTATGGTTCTTCTACCCATAAACTCATCATCAAATTTGTCATTTATGCTATTAAAGTGTAAAAATGATAAGTACATTAAAGTGTTTCTAATTAACAAGAATATCACAAATCACTCTTACTACGGAAAAAAAAAAAAAAAAAAGACAACCTGATAAAAACCCGGAGATTTCATCAAAACACAAGATAAACAAATGACTAAAAATATCTTGCTGTAAGCAAAGTTTCTCCCACTAAAGCAATAAGACCACCGCTGCACTCAAGGCGACAAGAATAAAGAAGTCCACTTTTCTTGAAAAAGAAGGGACGCCCTTACACCTAATAAAACGTCACTTCTTCTCTTTTTTTTTTTTTTTTTTTTTTTTTTTTTTTTTTTTTGTCTTTTTAGTTATTTATAAATTTCAAAACTACTTAAAATAAGTGTTGGGCCACAACTTGAGAACAGAAGCATACGTTCTGTTAATTTTTCCTTTACAACAACCAATGAGGATCAATAATGCTCTCAAATATCACATGGCCTAGCCTCCTCTTCCAAATAACATCAATAACGAACTGAAAGAGAAATCATAACAATACACTTTTTCTTAGCTTACTTTATTACATATTCAATTTATTTTTATTTTTTTTAGAAATTCTTCCGATATGAGTACAGCCCCTAGAGAATTCCGTTGACTGTTCAGGTCCAAATCATAAAAAATGTATGTGTCTTTGCCTTAAGTCTTCTTGACCCTTGATTTATATGACTTTCTTGAGATTTATTGTAGCTCTGAGATTTTAGAGATCATTTCCGACAATGCCAAAATAACTATAATTATATGGTGGAAACTCAATCCGTGCATTTATCACGAATATTTATATATTTAATGCTCTAGGTATGGTCCCAAAAATAATAATAATAATAATAAAACAAAGATCATGTTCCGTTGTTAGGGACCCCAAGTGTACCCTTGGTCATCATGGGGACGCGTTATGGGTAACCTCGATAATTTACTTCTTATTTAATAAACTTCAATAATTTTATAACTTTTAATAAAATTCAAACATGTGTTGCATGGAGTGTCCTGTTATCAACATCAAGATCAAGATCAAAAGATTTTTCTTGGATTGTCATGTTATTAAGTTAAATATTATTGCTTGGGCCACTAGTCATAGATAGTCCATGTCTTGAACGAATGGCTTTCAAGGATTTAGACTTAAAAATTATATTTTAATTTTTCTTTAGGGAACTTCACATACAGAAGTGAAAAGCTGAGTGATAGATCATGAAATTGATCTCCATAAATTGTTTTGATAAGAGTAGTTTTAGTTTTTTGTCCAAAAACCAAAAAAAAAGCTCAATGAAAAAACTCATATTTCATTCCAATTCAACTAGTTTTAGAACTACAAAAGTGACGAGAAAATATTTTTGCCCTCTACTAGTTGCTGGAAGAAGAAAATGGTTACAAGTGAATCCTTCATTAATCTTTAAGAAATAAGCATGGGGTGGAAAATATAGGAATAGTAGCCTTGTTTTCCTCCTCTTCCTTTTATTTCATAGCCCTTGTTTCTTCAATCCACTGTGACAACACATTAAGACTACAAAACATACATACAATTCAATCATCTAACGAATTTACAATTGAGCCTAATTTCTTGTCCACCGTTATTGGTGATGCTGCTCATCTTGATCATGGACTTGACAAAGGCCCTTTCAAATTCCTCTTGGGAATGAGCAAACTTTGAAACCAAAGCCTTAGTGGTTGGATGAGTGAGCAAAGCTTGATCAGAAGAGAATATGCTTTTTCCTTGGAGGAGTAGCTTGTAATAAGCATTGTCAAACAAGGTGGAACTTGAATCCAATGGGGCACCTGCATTTTTCACCTTGTTGTTTGAGGGGCATATACTTTGGAGGCTTCTTGCGAATGAAGGGTTCAAGGACGGGTCAATGTCTTGTTTGGGGCTGAATTTGTGGATTCTGTTTTGGAAGGATGAACAATGAGAGAATCCTAGTGTATGACCTCCTGAACATAAAAATCATCATATCATAAGTGTATAGTTAATGTGGATACCATTTTAGATCAATGACGATTACATTTTCTTTTGTGTTGTGCTTGTGCATGCATGTAATGGTATTTTACTACACAAACTTTTTATTTGTGGTTAAGAAATAGGAAGCTAGGAAGGGTGTACTTGACAATTGTATAAATAAATTTGGAATCATGATATGTGACCGTAAAATATAAGAGTTTTTTTTTATACAAATTAGAAGTGATTTTAAGAGTTTTTCTATTAAAAACAAAAAATATTTTTTAGTAAATTTTTTTAAAAACACTTGTATTCGAATATTATTAACATCAAAACTTAATATTACATATGTTCCTCATTATTAGTTCTTTTGGAATTTCAAAGGTACCTGAGAGGGCTACCAGATCTTCCAAAGAAAGCCCTCTTTGTGAGAAGCTTTGTTGTAATTGGGAGATGTTGAATGTGGGAGCTGGCAATTGTCTGGTTTCTGTGGCCTTTGATATTCTTCCATCCTTTCTTCCTTTTGGTACGTCCCAAGTGGGCCCACCGGACTACAGCCACACAAAATTATCATTAAATTAATAATTAAAACAAAATTATGATTAATATAAGTATATGAAAAAACACTTAAATAAATTACCATTAATATATCACTAGTTTGATTAGAATTGAAATTTTATCATAATAATATGTATATCGAGATACAATTCTATAGTACCGCACATATGAAACAAAATTTAGATAAAATATCATAACTATTTTTGGTATTATTATTACATATAAAAAATTGGAGTTTTAATTTTAATAATATACGTATGTTATTGTTTATGATACTAACCAAGGTAACAGCGTCCCTAGCAGCAAGAGCCAAAATGTCAGCACAAGATACGATTCCGGGGCAAACGGCTTCCACTGCTTTCTTAGCTTTGTCAATGACATAAAATGCATGCAAAGAAATGTTAGGAGGTCCATCCTTTTCTGCTTTGTTCTTTCCCTTTGATTCCAGAAGAACAGAGGCATCACAACCCTTAATATAACACAAGAGTAAATATATACGATCAGTTTTATAGCTACATTCACACCACTTCATATTACAGTATTGTTGGTGCCCGCATGTTTGGAACTTGGAACACTTTTTCTTTTTAATGAAAATAATAGTCTTTATCCTTTTAAAATAAAAGGAATTAGAGTCCGTTTCTGATAGAGAAATTTTAAAAAAATCTTTTAAATTTATATTCAAAGAGACTCTAATACACAAACATAAAGACAAGTTACTTGTCCCATGATCATATGAACATTATTTTTGCTTAGGGGAATTGAAGCAAAAAGTTGCATACCCTTATGAAGCAATCATGAAAATGCATCCTAAGGAGAGCAGCTGGGACAGTTTTGTCGTTGATGGTTGCTTTGTGAACAGCAGAAGCTACGATGGACTCTAAATGGGGGCACGTATTTTCGTAATAATTTACATTTAGTGCACTCATAAGAGAAGCTAGGGACATAGTTATGAGCATCACTGTAGCAATAGCTGCCATATTAATTTCAAGTCACAGATTCAAACCTTGTTTATGACTTGTGAGAAACATTGATTGGAAAGGTATTTATAGAGAGCGGTGATGGCACGGGAAAGTTGGAGTGGTTAAGGGCATATGGTTGTTAAAGCATATTTGGTGATCTACGACCCTGTTAGTGGAGCAGTGTTTTCAACATCGATCTTCCATGTATTAAAATAAATAAAGATTGCATTTGGTACGATTGCTTTTGAAAGCGAACATTATTATAAAAGCAATCCATAACATATTTATGGACACAAATTTTGGCTACCTCTTTTATACCATAAGCTTCACATTTCATTATAGTGACGTATTTTTTTTGCCATTGATATTTAGTAAGTCTAATATTTTACTGAATTTAAACTTAATAATGTGTTTTGATGAGATTGAGTTTAATATAATATTATTAAACTCATTAAATTGTAGGATAACATATCATATAGTATTATATTATCAAAAGAGAGTTTAACTCAATTAGTTGAAGAAAGTGCATGAGTTGTTTCAGTTTCAAAGTTCAATTCTCATGTATAAAAAAAAAAACTTTTTTCTTTACATTGATAATTATGTGTATAAATTAAAGAGTGAAATCTCCTTTTCATCCTTTAAAAATTAAGATATTATTATATTAGTTTTTGTAGTGCTTATCTTTTACACGATAAAATAAAATGCATATCACTAATTAAGTTTCTTGAAAATTAAATTTGTCCTTATGAATGTAAATTTAATTTTTATACTTAAGATAATGTGTTGATACGAGTGTATTAAAGAGTGTGCGGGTTGGTACTTCTCTTTAATGAAATTGTTTGAGGAAGATTAATGCATGTAACATACTTTAATTTTTTAAAGAAATAAAATCTAGAGATGAAAATGTTTTAAGAATTAATAATACAATAACACTTTAATCTTTGAAGGAGGAATTTAGAATTTATTTTAATTATATTAAAAAATAAAATTACATTTATGATCTTTTATCTTATTTTTTAGGTTTATTTTTGATTTTATATTTGTTAAAATATTTATTTTGGTTTGTTATATTTCATATTTGAAACAATTTGGTTCTTTTAAAATAGTGATCATTTTTAATTTTGCATCATTATTTTATTGATTCAAGATGTAAAAAATATAATATTATATTTACTCATATAAAAATTTGAAAATGTAATTGACATTTGAATTCAAAAGAGACATAAATATAGTGGAAATCGTGTGAAAAATATATTTCATAAATAATTCAGATTTTTTTTAAGTTTTCAATTTTCATCATATTTATAATACGTTTGGTTTGAATTTTATTTACATTCAATAGTTTTCATATAAATGAATATTGTGAGATAAGTAGGGCTAAAAATGAATCAGACTGAGTTGAGTTTTAAAAATTCAATCCTTAACCATAAAATTTTAAAGTGTCAGTTTTTTTTATTATTATTAATTTATAACTAAATTTTTGAAGATTCTTTCAAATTTTAATAAGTTAAAATTAAATAAAAAGTTGATTATTATATATTTATTTGTTGAATTCATTCATGAACTAAACAAGGTGAATTACACGCAAGTCAAATTTGATTCATATTTATTTATCAAATTCAAATTTTCAGTTCAAGTTCAATTCATTTAATTCATAAATCAAATTCAATAAATTAATTATTAAATTGAATTTTGAACTATTTTCGAGTTAGACTAATTCATTGTCATTTCTAGTAAAAAAAAAAAGGATTTAATAAGATTAAATTTACATTAATTTGGTAAATGAAAGATTAAAATGAAATCAAAATAAATCAAAAATAAAATAAAAAATAAAAAATATAATTTAACTTATACTAAACTAGTAGGGGAAGAAGTATTTCATGTCTTTTAATTATTTTTAAATAATAAAAAGGTCGTTATTAAAAAAATGTGAGAAGATAAAAAAATAAAAATATAGTGAATAGATATTCATGTTCGACTGTTAAGCAGAGAAGAGAGAGAAAAGAAACTAAATAAAAGAAATTAAAAGAGTAGTTTTTTTTAGGTTCGTTCCTGGAGTATCCACCGCCGACAGCGCTGGCCCCAAGATTTAACGCGGCTGCATACACAAGGCAGGATTCGAACCCCTGACCTTGCTTAAGCGTGGATCAACCCCTACCGCTGAACCACACGCTTGGGGTTATTAAAAGAGTAGTTTAAGCGAGAGAAAAAAAAAAGTCTATTTAAAAATATAAACCAAATTCACTTACAAAAAGGGGACATCTCTTTTATATTATTTCATATATTATTCCCCACTCTCCACTTATGAGGTCTTACAAATTAAATATCGTAAACTAAAAAGAAAGTCAAATTATTGTCAATTAATTAAAGATGGAATTATCCGTCGGTTCGATTCCCAAATGTTAGCAGCCTTCCTTTATTTTCTTTTTGATGAAAATAAAAGCTGCATTAATTCTTCCTATATAATAGTATATTACTTGATCCAGTCCCATAGAATAATAAATAGCATGATGCTTTCGAATAAAAAGAGTTTATAATTGGAATGTTGCACTACGGTTTTACTTGCTTGAATCCCAATCTAAAGGGAAACAAAAAGGGATCTTCAGTTGGACTAGCATATGTATTGACCCCCAAAATGAAGGGTTGAGTGGTTTTGCCTCAACCATTAAGGGTATATTTGCTTAATCGTAGTTCACTATATTATTTCAAGGAATTATAAATAATATTATGCTTTCGAACCAAACGACTTAATTTTGGAAACTTGTGCTTCAAGTTCTTTCTTGAATCCCAAATAAAAATGTAACATAAAGGGGTCTTCGGTTGTACTGACATATCAACCCCAAAATAAAAGGTTGGTGGTTTGGTTACAACTAATATCGGGCACTTTGCTTAATCTTAGCTCAATAGAATATTAATTTCATTTGTAGAGAATCAAACTATGAATCGAAGATTACTGGAATCAATTCAGTGATAGTTGAGATAGTACTTATAGAACTTTATGTTTGACTGCTAGTGTTGTGATTATAATTTCAATTTTAATTTTCAATGAATAAAAAAATATTATGATATGAAAAGGGGTGTATTTAATATATATAATACCATAATAATTGTACTTCAAATTGAAGTGCAAATCAAACTGCTACAAGTTGCTACAAGTCATTGTCTAAAAGTAATAATGAACATTAATTAGATGGTAAAAGGGATGACAATGGGGCGGGTCGGGTACGGGTTTCATGATATCCGTTCTCGTCCTCGCGAGGCAAACCATCCTCGTACCCATATTTATCGGGTATATGATTTTCATCCTCATCTCCGTCCCGTCAGGTATCGGGTATACCCGTATTCGTACCTGTAACCGCCAATTTTATTTTATTTTATTTTTTTGTAAAAAAATGATATTTTTTAAATTATTTTTTTATTATATTACAATTATAATTAGCTTATTTTTCTATCTCATATTATAATAAATAATCACATAAAAAAATATTAAAATTCTTTAATATAATTAAATTGAAAGTGGGTATTAAATTAAAAATGGTAACGGGGACGGTACGGGTACGAGGCAGGTAAGTACATACTCGTACCCGTACTCGTACCCGATTTAATATATCGAGCTTTACCTGTACCCGTACCCAATCAAACCGGGTATTTCCCGTTAAAGTCGAGACAGGTTAGGCTATTACTCCACGGGTACGGGTATATTTATCATCCCTAGTTATGACATATCCTAGCTATATGTCAGTTCATTATCAATGGTAAATTTTGACATTTAGAAGGCACATGATTGCATTAATAATGCATTTCAACTCCTATAGTTGCATAGAGATTATAGGAACTCTAAAATTAGAAGACTGAACTCATATTTTTATTTATATTTGTAATTTTTAAATATATAAAAAATACAATTGAAAGTTGATATACTTATAAAAGTGTAATAACACCTATAATTTTTATAATTAAAATTTATAATAGTAGGAATTCTAATAATGCTTTATTAATTTGAAATAAACTCTAATAATAGATGTTGATTCAGATTTTCAACACTCTTCATTGTATTAGTAGCTATTGACTCTAAGTTTCCCTCTCAAGTTCTCAAACTTTCCTTTTGGAAGTGTCTTTACGAAGATGTCTGCCAATTGATCTTCTGTTTTTGTAATATACTAACACAATATTACCTCTCTTTTTTTCTTCTGAAAATATCTAATGGAATACAACTTAACATTGGAGTGTTTAGTCTTCCCATAAAAGACTAAAATTTCAGAAATTGCAGTTGTTGTTTGATTGTCTACAAGCACCTTATTTGGATTTGTCTAAACCACTTGTAGAACATCTAGAATTTTCCTCAACCATAAAGTTTGATTAACAGCTTCAGCAACACCTATGAGCTCTGCTTTTGTAGTTGATTGTGCCACATTGTCTTCTTGCTTTCTTGAGGCCCATGAAAACATTCATGAACCTAATGTAAAATAATAACTACAAGTTCTTTTCATATCATCCAATAAACCTCCCAATTGCTGTCAAATAATCCATGGAAATTAAACTCTTGATCATATTTGAACCTTACTCCATAATCAAGAGTACTTTGACATATCTTAGCACACATTTAGCAGCTTGAAGATGTACTTCACTTGCATAATGTATGAATCTAGACAAAAGACTTACAGCTTGCAAAATATTAGGTCTTGTTGTCGTAACATACATTAAGCACCCAACAAGACTTCTAAAATCAATTTCATTATCCTTTTTCTACACCATCCTCTTTGAAAGCTTCAACTTTTGAAACATTGGAGTACTCATAGGCTTAGAGTTTTCCATTTGAAACTTCTTCAGAATTTCTTTTGCATATTTCTTCTAACAGATGAAAATTTCTTTCTGGTCTTGTTTGACTTCTAAGCCAAAAAAAAAAGCCATTTTTCCACAATTAGTCATCTAAAAACCATTCATCATATCTTGCTTAAACTCCTCAACAAACGCAATATTGCTTCCTATCACTAAAAAGTCATCCACATTTAGAGAAATAATTAAAATCTCATAATTCAAGCATTTCACATAGAGAGTTGACTCATTGAGACTTTTTGTGAAGCCAATACTCAGCAAGTGCTCATCAATTCTGCTATACCAAGTCCTTAGAGCTTGCTTCAAACCATACACGACCTTCTTTAGCAAATAGACCTTGTCTTCTCGTTCTTTAACTTCAGGTTGCTCAACAAATATCTCCTATTCTAAATAACCATTTAGAAAAGCAGATTTTACATCTAGTAGAAACACATTCCAACCATTTTGTGTTGTAAAAGCTAGAACCAATCTAATGGTATCAAGTCGGGCAACGGGAGCAAATGTTTCAGAGAAATCAACTCCATATTTTTTAGCATATCCCTTTACTACAAGTATGGCCTTGTGCTTATTAATGGAACCATCTACATTGAGTTTGGTTCTGAACGCCCATTTAACACCAATAGCATTATGATGTTGAGGTCTAGAAACCAATTCCCAAGTTTGGTTCTTTTCAATCATGCAAAACTCCTCCTGCATTGCAATAATCCACTTTGGATCCTTTTCTGCTTCAAAAAAATCTACAAGTTCTAATATAGCAGCATTACATCTTTCATAAATATCATAAAGTAATCTAGTTCCTCTAACTGGCAGATCATCAACATTTTTATCAAAAATTTCATCATTTTTTTCTTCTATAAAAGAAAAATCAAGAACTTGCTTCCAATCATCTTTCTCCCAGCTCCATTGTTTATCTTTCAACAAAATGGACATCTTTGCTTATGAGAATCTTATCAGTTTGTGATTGGTAAACTCTATAAGCTTTTGAAGGTGTGCTATATAGCCAATGAAAATTCTTGCTTCTGCCCTTTTTGTTTAGCTTATCCTTTTTCACCTTTAGCACATAAGTAAAACAAATATAGCCAAAACTTTGAAGTTTTGAACCAAAGGTTTATAGCCATACCATGGTTCATAAGGAGTTTTTCCTAGCATAACTTGCCTATTTAATAGAAACACAATCATATTTGCAGTTTCAGGCCAAAACTTCTTCGAAAGTCCTTTCTCATGCATCATGCTTCTAGCCATTTCCATTATTGTTCTATTCTTCCTCTCATTTACTCCATTTTGTTGTGGAGTGTAAGGAGTGGTAAGTTGGTGCTCAATCTCAACCTCTTCACAGAAAGAATTAAATTGATATGAAATGTACTCTTTTCCATTATCAAACCGTAGAACTTAAATTTTACAACTAGATTGATTTTCAATCCAAGCCTTGAACCTCCAAAAAAATTCCTGTAACTTCATATTTAAATTTCAAGAAATAAATCCAACATATTCTTGTCAAATCAAGAGAATGCAATATTTACTCTCATTTAGAGATAATTTAGGTAGAGGTCCTCCAAGGTTTATGTGAATCAATTTCAGTTTCTGTGATGCTCTACAACTAGTTTGTGGAAATGGTAGCTTGTATTGTTTCCCATATTTATATGCATTACAATTACTTAAGTCATCTTCCAATGATGGCAAGTCTTTCACAATATTGTGTTTCTTCATGTTCAGCAATGCAACATGGTTAAAAAGACCAATTCTCTTATGTCAAAGCTCAATAACATTAATCGTGTTTGAAACAACAGCTTGCACCTCCTCCATTAAATCTAAAGAAAAGCTTTTTCCATTCATTTTGACCTTGAACAGATCGTGCCCACTTGCATCTTTGATCAAACACATTTTGTCTTCAAATAGAATTTTATAGCTTTTTTCAAGCAACTGACCAACACTTAACAAGTTTTGATTAATTTCAGGTACATAAAGTACATCAGTGATTATTTGTGTACCTAAATAACTTGCAATTGCAATAGTGCCCTTCCCTTTCACAACTATACACTCTCCATTGTCAATTTTGAATTTTGAAACAGTTGTCCTATCGAGTTCCTTGAACAATTCTTCATCATAGGTCATATGATGTGTGCATCCACTATCAATCAGCCAGCACTCACAATTGTTACTGGTGGTAAAATAAGTTGTTGCAAATAACTGCCCCTCCTCCTCTTGTTATTCAACCACTTGAGCCTTTGTTTGAGACTATTTTTTGTTCTTGCAAAATTTTGCAATATGACCAAGCTGATTGCATTTGTTACAGCGTAAGTTAGGTTATCTCCAACATCTGAAGTGGAGATGGTTTCTCTTTCCATAGTGCTGACAAGGAGGATGATTTGGTTTCTCATCATCTCTTTTACCACTTTTGTTAGAACTTTCTCCTTGTTCAAAGTTGCTCCCTTGAGCCTTCTTTTTCTTTCCTTTGTAACCATGATTGAGTTTCAATTTCACTTGTAAAGCACATTCAATCATGCCTTTCTCCCTCATGAGTCTCCTCTGTTCTTAGGTTTGCAAAGCATACATCAATTCTACTAAAGTGATATTTGACAAATCCTTGGAATTTTCAAAAGAGGAAATGGTGGATTCAAACCTCTTAGGAAGAGTCATAAGGATTTTTTGCACTATCCTTGTATCGAAAAATTTTGTCCCAAGCAACCTCACCTTGTTTACAATGCTTAGAAGTTTGTTAGAGAATTCTTTCACCATTTCTGACTCCTTCATTCGCTACATCTCAAACTCCCTGATCAAATTCAGCACTTGCATCCCTCTCATTTCCTTCATACTCTTGTTTGAGAAAATCTCATATAGCCTTTGTTGACTTTAGGGTCACAATTCTGGTGAAAATTGATTGAGAAACAGCAGAAAATAGACAAGACTTTGCCTTTGATTTTCGCTGCTTTCTTTCCTTATGATACTTGATTTGATTAAGTGTTGAATTTTCATGTAATTGACCAACCTCATAATCCTCCTCAACAGCTTCCCAAAGATCATTTGCATCAACAAAAGTCTCCATTCTAACTGCCCATAGGTGATAATTCTCACCATCAAATGCTGACAATGTTTGGACTGAATAATCATATTACGTTTTCAATTCTCTATATAAGTGTTTAGGTGTTTGGTGGAACTCTCAACCTTATCAAGTCCCTCAAGAACAAAATAATCTCTGGTACCAATTGTAGGAACTCAGAAAATTAGAAGACTAAAATTCATATTTTTATTCATACTTAAACTTTTCAATTAAAAAAAAAACATATAACTAATTCTGTTCATAAACATAAAAATTAAATGATAAATGTAAATATTCATAAAAGTGTAATAACACTTATAATTCCTATAATTAAAATTTATAATGATAAATTTTTTAATAATATTTCATTAATTTGAAATAAACTTTAATAATAAATGTTGTTTGATATTTTCAACAAGAATATCGTAAGCAATTTAAATCCATAAAGTTTTTGGAAACTTGTCGAAATTTCAATGAAGGTACAGCCAGAAAACTGTTACTTGATATCAAGCGAGATGTTGCTACGTAGTAACATCTTCACTGAAGTTGATCGAGTTTCAGTTCCTCTGAAATCAAGGGTAAACATGTGTCGCTACCCCAACACGGTTTTATGTGAGACATTAGTTAAAAAGGTGCCAGCTCATGTCGTGTCTCACTTTTATTAACTCATGTCATGTGCTTTAATCAATCAAAAACACGTAGATTCTCTGATAGCTGTTAGAGAATCTTGCATCTAACAGGTTTTGCTCTATTAATTGTAAATTTGTAATTGTTACCTCCAAGTTGTGAACCGACTTCACGAGGCTTGAGTCAAGAAAACTGATTAGGGAGGCCAATCGTTTAATTCTTCACGCATTAATACTCGAGTTTTGAAGGTTGTGTATCCTCTAAATTAGACATCAACTTTATAAGACTGACTTAAGAAGATCGATATTAGGAAAATGGTTAGATCTCCTAATGATAATGATAAGACTGATTAGAAGTTTAATTGATTATTTATGACTGACTAAACTTAACCAACTTGAATCTGGAAGATATTCTCCAAGACAAACAAAACTAAATAACAACATATATGATTAATCAAATACTGATTACCTTGTAACTTGCGACCTGCAATGTAAGCCTTATAGTAAGTTATTTTTTTAATGTTCTAGACATAAATTCACTAGATTATTATAGATGAGATCCTTGGTATCAAAATAATAACCAGGTAGATTTATCTTATTTTTAAATTTCCAAAAGCTTGATGGAATTAATACACAACAGTGTGACGACAACAATACACCAAAAAATCTAGGGAATGAGTATTTTCTCAACTCCCGCGACACAACTTCAACTATAGTATTCATATTACAACAATTTATAGTATAAATTTAAACAAGAAAGATGCTTAATTATTTGATTTCTACATACTTGAACTTCCTTATGACATGATGGTGATTGCTATTATTGATATTTGATAGTAACAATATTATGAAAGGCATGTATATATTGTGCCTTATTGAAGGGCTTGAAGTTGATGGGTTTGGTCCACCAAATAATCAAAACCACAAGAAGGGTGGCGGGCTGCTCCAGTCAAATAAAAAGCACGCCTCAGCCGTTCCAAGAGCCCTTGTGACTCATTTTTGTGAGCTTAGAACTGAACTGGGCTAGAGAAAGTTTGGCCAAATGTCCAACTTGCTGGAACTATATTTGGAAAAACTCTGACTTCTCCATCGGTGGTTGTGACTCTGAAGGACAAAGATTGACCATTCAAATATGCATTGGATTGCCAATTGGCACCCCAATTTCTTGACATGGCCATCCACACAGTTTTGGAGCCTTTAATGGATACAGATTGGATGGATCCTGCCCCAGCCACGTTGCTGATCAACACAAGCTCAAAGTAGTCCCTCCCATTCACAGTGAACCTAACCCCTCCGTGCTTCTTGCACGGAACCCTGCAACATTACTAATATTAACATGTCAAGGAAATAATTCACAAAAATGTCATATCGCTGCATAAATATTGTTATATTTATGTTTTGGTTTCATATAGTAGAATATATTGTTGAAGATCCTACATCACATAGTGGTATGGTCAAAATTAAGCTTAAAATAAGCTTATAAGATAGTATCAAAGTAAATCTTAACGATCATTGATGATTTTGAACTTAAAAGATCACTTACTATTGTATTATTACTAAATCATTTACAAATGTAGATTCCTAAGAACTTCACATTTGATGTTTAAAGTACAAGCAAAATATTTTAGAAATTCTACATCACCTAATGGTACGGCCAGAATAATATATATATATATATATATATATATATATATATATAACTATCCTTAATTTTACAAATTGGTTATGTTGACTTAAGTTAGACTCGAATCTACATTTTAATATATATGCAACAAAATTTTCCTAATATAATTGACACCCAGAACTAACACGAGATTACTGATTAAGCCTAAATAATGACTCGTTGTTCATGTGGTTGTCATATTTATATAACAAGGTGTAGAACAGATTCAAACCTTTGGAATAACACAGGCACGATCCCTCCTCTGTAAATACCAATCTTTTCCCACGCGGGTTGGGCCATATCAAAATGCTTGAGTGGAGGGTTGCACCAGCCTCCATTGTTGTTGGGAAGAGCAAAATTGGGAGGGCAAAAGTTCGTGGCAGTTATGGTGATAGATCTTCCTTTGATGCACCATCTTGAGTCTGATTTGTAATCACATATGATCTTGTAGCACTGACCGCAAGAAGCTCCATCATTAAACAAGGCAGTGCTTAAAGCCGCAGTTCTAGTCCCATACCCAGTTGAATACAGATTCCCATATCCACAAGCCCCCCCTGCAATCAATCATATACAATGAGTACAAAAATTCAGTCTTTGAAGAGTAGGGGGGGAAAAGATCTAGTGTTAAAAGGTTCTTACCCATAGTTCCTGAGGCATCACTACCCCCATAAAAAGTGGCATGAGCATTGGTCCATCCAGAAGGTGAGAAGGCATAGGTATTAATTGTGAAACAGCATGATCCTATGATGAGGCTTGTAGCCAAAAGAAGCATAAATTTTGCCATTTTTTTGTTGCTTGGTGAATGCCTAGTGAGATGATGAGGTTGAAGGATATGTGACTAGAATTTGTATTGGCAATTATTGTCATTTCCAAGTACAGAAGCTTTGTCCTTAAATAAGGGACTAGACTAGCTAAGGCAACGATGGCACATGTGAGGTTCTGCAAGATGAGAGAACTGAAGAAACAAATTTTTATTACTTATCGGATTAAATTTATCTGTGAAAGTCTGAACATATTCAATTATTCCCACGTTCTCTTGGGTTTTTCTCTTATACTCACCCACCCACATGCTCATCCCAACATAAGAGCCGTGAATGTTTCAAAACCCACAAGCCCATTTGGTCATTTAATTTTTTATTTTGGCCCCTCCCAGATCCCAATGCCAACCTCTTTCGTCCCACATGGATCTATTGGTCTGTAACTCCATTTTTGGATAAAATGACAGGGAATGGTTTTTATTAAATGGAATAGATCGTAACATGGAGGGTCACATGGAAATGATGATAGTGTCGTTTTTTGTGAGCTACATCCACATGTCCCATTTTGGCTACTCAGATTGTCAGTTGTCTGTTAGCTAGCGATTCAATTAATCACCGTGGTTTCAATCTGATAACACATGACATCTATATTTTCCCATGTAAATGAAATTCATAAATTATCCAGAGTGTTCATAAATAATGAGCTTGATCTGAACGACCCATGATACGATTTTCTAGCACCGTCAAGCAATCTAAAAGGGGAAAGGAAGTTTACTGTGGGATTGACAGTCAAGCAGACAAAAAGAATGAAAACTAAAAGCACCGTCAAGCAATAATTGCCGAGTGCTAACTTATCACTGTGCTACAATTTTCTAAAAATATGACTAATTACACCCCCTTTAAAATATCTTAATAATTTAATATATCAAATACTATAAAATATCAACAAAAGTTGAAAAAAGGAACCAGATCTAAGTGCTACAGCTTATTCTATCTCCGACACAAACGAAAGGAGGAAACATTTTCCCATTGTTTCAAGTAATTTTGAGAAAAGAAAAGTGTAAAAAAACGTGCAAGAGAAAATAAGTTTTTTAATTGTTTGGAAAATGTGAAAACTGAGAGAAGAGACAAAAGAAATAATGAAGTCATGATAAAAATAATCTCTTCATTAATGAAGAGATTTTATATAAATCTATAGAAGTGTTGAGACCTATCAAAAAATTAAAATTTATACTACTTCCCCACTATCTTATTTCTTTCTTTCATATTTATTTCATATCACTTAAAGAAAGCATTTATGCGACAGCAGGAAAGAAAAATATAATACATATTTATGCTCAATAAGCTACAGAAAATTATTGTAATAGCTCAGTTATACATCGATTGCTTAAAGTGATTTTGCAGTGACAAAACTAAGTGAGAAAGAAATGTAAATGAAAAATAACCTTTGTATTGTTTGAGAATGGAAAGAAATGGCAGGAAGAGAAAAGTTTAGCGAGCTTGCAATAAAAATAAATTTCCCCATGAGAAGTAAATTATTTTTATTTTTATTTTTATTTTGTAAATCTCAGTAATATATTGAAATGATGTATCTATCCATTTGTTTTACGATACCCGCATTTTTCTTTCTCTTTTACTTTCTTATTTTCAATCCATACTTAAAAATCTATCTATTTTCTATGCATTCTCTCTTTTCTCCAACTTCTTTTCTCTCTATCTAGCATCATTCAAACCGAGCATTATCCACCACAGTAAATACCTCCTTTTTTTTTTGGGCAAATGAGTAAATACATTCCAATAGTCAAACTTCTGAACTGAATCACTAACTCGGTCTTAATTTTCTCAAATCTTATAACAGTTCTCCGAACAAGGAAACAAATCGTTGGTGTGGCCATGATTTGTAACCAACTGTAAATATCTCAATATGGCAAAGGATTTCTTCATAACTTTTGTGTATAAAATAAAACTTAACGCTCCAAAAACGAAATGGTAATGCAAGTTCTCCAATGGAGAAATATGAGTAACTACGGAAATGAAGACAATAACTGGTAAGTTAAAAAGAGCAAATCATTATCAGAAGTCGTCATCATCCTCCTCTGCGATATGCTTAGCCAGTTCTTGCTCTTGTTGATGCCTCTCTCTCCTCTTTTCAGCACTTTCCTTTTCCTTGTGTGTGTTTGGTGGAAAACGCAGTGCTCGAACAGCTTCATTGTGCATGTTAAGACAAAAGGCAATCCGAGAATTAAATGCCAACTGAGGCTCATTTGTAGAGTAAATATCTCCGGTTTAGTTCCTATAGTTTCACTTGTAATGAAATAGACAGTGCGTAATTATTACATGGCTAATAGGTCCTTGCTGTTTTATTTATTTATTCAACCATCATATGTTATAATAGAGACACCATCCACCCATTGGCATGATCCAATGAAGCATCAATAGCCCCATCACGGATAGCCTTTGCTACAATGCTCTCAGCATCAGCAACAGGACTTGCAGAGTTCAACCTCAACTTTTTAGCCACATCAGCCAGTGAGATGCGTGAATATGATATGCTGATGTTGCGTAAACCAGTCCTGATGACATTATGACGCAGCCGAACAATCAAATTGTGAGTTTGGTCTCTACTGAAAGTCTTATCAAACTTCTCTGCCACATTCCTAAACAACTCCAAGTCACCAATTCGGACAGCCTGAAATTCCACAACATAATTAAACACCATCACTAAGAAGCACCACATCAACGCTATGGTTTGGACTTTACCAAAAGAATTTGTATTGAATTTGGAAGGGGCCTCAAATTCATGTGAAGAACAGCAGATTATGATTTAGAAACACACGAACTAAGTTCTAACAGCATTGAAAATTGAACAAAGGCCCATACAAGTGCATAAAATTGTGTTTTATTTTTGAAATTCAACAAAAGTAAACTTGTTTAAGCCAGGTATTTGATAATTTTCAACTTCCAGCACAACTTTCAAAAGCGTTCCATAAGGTGCTTCTGAAAAGAACTGAAAGATGAACAGCAATTTTTTTACTTGACCCATTTGTGACGAAAAGCATAAAAAAATATAAGTTAGTGCATTCCAAATAGAACCTTAGCCTGCTACAGAAAAACAAGGGCAAGTAAAAAAAGAATGCACAAATATTTATGAGATTATCGCTCCCGAAATAGAGTCATAGGTGCTCAATGCCTAAATATAATTGAACTGATTAAAACCATAAACAACATGGATTTTAAGTGCATTACTTATTTGAAGCCCTTATCAACACTATTTAACTATGGTACTATGGTTTGCATTATCGTCTCTTTTGTTTCATAATAAGTTAAGACAGATTTTCTCAATTTGAAATTTTATTCACAAAAATTTGATTTGATACAACTTAAAATGCATTTGATGCACATTGAGGGACAATACAAGCAAATCAAAACATACAAGAAGCTGAGTCAGAGCACAACTTTTTTTATTATTGTTTGATGGACAATGCAAAGCACAAGCAGTTTTGGAGGTGGAGCAAGGGGTTGCATGAGGTACTACCCAATGGGGCTTATAGGATGTTCACCATTGGCATTGACTAGGTTTAGGCTTTTAGCCAAATTGATTGGTAATTTAAACTTTTGGGTGCTGCGTACGGGACAAGAAGTTGAGTAATGTTTAGACTTCAGACTTCTGTCCTGTGCCCCATCTTTTGTTTGTTATGTCATATGACCATTATTAAAATCAAACAAGGAACAATTGTTTATTCTCTGTTCAGTCTTTCATTTTTCAGTAAATTAAATAACACCATTAACTAAAGTCTGATAACTGCAATGTAGAGTAATTCAAATTTTTGTATAAATTTGTCATTTCATAAAATAAATTTAAAAAAATATCTTGAGAAAAACCCACATAAAGGTCTATATTTAGTAGTACATCTACTTGAAAATGTTGAAAAAAATAGTCAATTGAGTGAATTAACTGATGAAAAGTAAAATGCATCAAAATAAACAAGAAGCCAAAATGGCATCACCTTAAACAAAGGCAATGTTGCAAATGTAAAACTGTAAAAGCCAAAGATGAAAAGCCGTGTTCGGTTGTAATCCCAGACATCATTTTATATTCAAAATTTTAATGAAATTTTCATAATAGGAGGTTGAATTGTATATTAAGTCACTAGAGGCCTAGAGATATTCTAGGAAGACACTCTACGATTAGTTAGAATTTATTGAAAATTACAACTTTTTGTAGGTCCTAATACTTATTTAACAATTTTTTCCTAATTTTTTTATTTTTCAATAAATTATAACCAATAGTAGAGTATGTGTTAGAGGTTGTATTACTAGCACTTCACTTAGTCTCTTCAGTTCTAGCTTATTTTTGACATAGGCCCAATGTTGAAACTTACAGATTAAATTTTTTTGCACCATCAACCAATATTAAGCAAGATGCCCCCATCCAAGCTGCCAAAAAGTTTTCCCACATCAGCTGTCATGAAAATGAGAATCAAAATAAAAATTAAAAAACACAATTCTATTTTCTTTATTGTCCACTTTGCTTCCAGGCTTCCACCAGACCTAGACTGAGTTCTCTTTCAATAAAACCAGGCTAAAAGTAGTATCTAACTGTTTCAAAATTTTTCTATTTGAGTCAATTTTGGTTATAAATAGAATCAGTGCGTGATTTCACTTATTTATGGTATAGCCAATTGCGTGTCATAGCAAAGTGATCCTAACTACTAAGCTATTCAAATCGTGGAGTAGTTTTCAGCAGTGGACCAGTGGCCATCATAACCAAAATGGCGGCTTTTCAAATTTCAAGTGCTATAGCAGCACTACTGTGATGGGATTCAAAAACCATTCTTTACCCTTAAACATCTTTGTTTATGGGTTTTCTGGGGTATTACTGTGATTTCTCACCCATTTTCTAATGTACTTTTTGCTTCCAAAACACTATAGGGTTTGAGACCCTCAATCATTTACAAAAAAAAATAAAAAGTTACTTCTGTTGACCTCTGTTCCTTCACATTTTATATGTCTATGTTTTATGTTTTTTCCTTTTTTTCTGTGTTCTTATTTTTCTTCTTTAGACTTCGGTGTCAGTATTCACAGTTCACATTCTAGTTATTATGTAATGTGTTCACTTGAAAAGAGAGAATGATTTTATTATTTCAATCATACGGATTACATTCTCATT